TTTTTTTTTTTTTTTTTTTTTTTTCTTTTAACGTAACCGCCTTGTTCCTGAATAGAGGGAACAGATTGTAAGAACAGCACTGTGAATTTTTCAGTAGCATTATGATGGATGAACGCTAATTGTGTTCTGAGAATTATTTTTTTTACCCTCTGAGGTTTGTCCCTCAGTCAGTTGAAGAAGGTAATGTTTTCCATGCATTAATTACCTCAGTCTAAATATTTAATAAACTCTTGTTAGGTAAAATTTAAATATGACTTGCTAATTTTATTTCTACTTGTTTTCAAACATTTTGGAATTGTCTGGTCAGGCATGTAGGCCAAGGATTGTTTTGTGTTGATGCTATGTCTTACAACACTATCGCTTGATAGCTGCTGAAGCTAATTCATAGATATTAAGAGCCAGAAGGGACCATCTTGTATAACAGAGGGCACAGAATTTCAGCCAGTTATCCCTCTGCTGAGCCAAATAACTTGTTTTTGTCTAAAGCCTGTCACCAAAAAAAATCTAGCCTTAATCCAAAGATAAAAAGGGATGAACAATGCACTGCTTCATTGATAGCTTATTCCAGTAGTTACTCACCCTCGTCATTCAAAATATTTGCCTCATTTCTAATTTTAATCTGTTTGACTTGAATTTCTGGCCTTTGGCCCTTGTTATGTTCTACTTTGCTAGATTAGGGAGACCTTTTAGTACCTAGTATATTATCTTTGTGGAGGTATTTATGCAGCATAATCAAGATACCTCTCAATCTTCTTTTTAATAAGCTACCCATTCTCTCAAAATCTCTTGTAAGGCAGTTTTTCCACTTCTTGAATTACCTTTTGCTCTTTTTTCTGTCTCTCTCTCCAGTTTTTCAGTTTAATAATTCACTTGGTGAACTGCAGAACATTTAAGCACTTGCTCTGTTGGTAGCATACATGTTTATACTATTATTTTTTTGATAATTTATTTCCTATTAATTTTTTAAACAAATGATTATGCAGGTGGGAAGACAAAATATGCAGGTCATCTAACTGCTTTGTAGTTTTTCTTATCCATGATTCTGGAGCTGGCCAGGGTTTAGCTTCAGGAGGTTTTGTGATTCCTTTTATTGGATCAGCTGAACAGTTGGGAGAGAGGCTGGACATGCTTTTGGGCACAAAATGCCTTTTACTTCAGGTTTGGGAAGCAAGTAGACATAGGCTAAGCTAAACTGAACCCCCACAATGTTTTCTGTTTATCTCCATGTAAATCAGGGGTTGGCCACCTTTTACTAATGGCAGGCCACCTTTTGTGAACCAGCCAGCACCATAGGCTGCCCATCCCCTGCTGTGACCCAGTTTTTCCTTCTCTGGCCACGTACAGGCATTCTTTCTCCTGGAAGAGTTGCTACTTTCCCAGTAGAAACCAAATATATATGGGTGTTCAGATTTTTTTCCCAGAGCAAAAATGGCTGCTCTAAGAGAATCCAGTAACAACCAGGATTAAATCACTCCCAGGAGTGTTTTTTGTGGGAGGCTGAATGTCTGAAAACAGTTCTTTCTAGGAGAAGTTGCAGCACGGTCCTTCAGCATCCTATGATGCTTTGCTTCTGCTCTGGCCATGCACAGAGCAAAACACTGCCCCTTCACAACTGAGCAGCTGATCTTCCGATCTCACATCCTTTCACTGAGAAATAACTTGGGCAAGTCTTTTGACCATTCTGCATCTAGTTTTCCCATCCCGTTGAAAGATGAGGGACATTTTTCAGAGAGTATTAGGTACGATTAATAGTTAATGCTTGTAAAATACTTTGAGACTGTGAAACTTACATATCACACCCGCAAACATACACCCCTTAATTAGTGCACAAATGTATATTTCAGTTTGCATTTTGTTCTAACTTTTTTGCACAGCCAAAACTGCACCAAGATCTCCAGATCGACGTACAAGTCGAGCTCTCCATTCTCAGACAGGCTCTTTCTCTGCCGCAGCCTTGGCAGCCAGTAAAGAAAACCTCCCAGTGCTTAACACTAGAATAATCTGTCCAGGTAATGATTGATTCTGAACTCTTCTTGTCCATTCAATAACTTTATATGCCCTTACGTGATTTTAATCAAACTTTGCTCTTACATACCTTCACCCAAGGATATCAAATAATTTTCTAAAAAAGCTGTTGAATAGATATGTGCAACGTTTTTGTGTTGCAAATGTGCAGTATCAAATGTGGGGTAATTTAAAATGCCTCTTGTCACTGAGCTGAGCACCAAATGCATGGCAAAAGTATAGCACTTGATTTTGAAGAATAAGGGGCAGAACTGGGAGACCTCTATATCTTTCTTTACTCTCTATTTAATGGAATAATTAACCTTATTCCTTTTTTACTAAATGAGATGCTGGGGGGGACACCTCTCAGGAAAAATACCATAAATACAAAGGTACTTTCCATCAATGAGAACTGCAAAATTGTTCATATTCCCATGTGCACATTTCTACCAAAATGTCTGGCTGTCTCCAAGCAGACTGACCCTTCAGAGCATATTGAGATGTATATACAGAGGCTTAATAAAATGTCATTAGCCGTGGTAACTTATAATGAAACATGTTTGTATATCAGTTTAACTGAAACCTTTTGGAAAGCACATTTTATTTGCATTAATGGCATATTGCATTCTTTTGTGATTTTTCTGTAAGTCAGTTTGGGGGTTGGCAGCTTGCCAGTGAACAAAAATTACGAACTTTGACCCTTTCAGTAGTAGAAACGAGAACTGTTCTTTAGCTCCTTACTTGGCTTCCAAGACGCAAACACCTGTTTTCTCATTTGTCTACATCTTGTTGCTCCCTATCCCATCACATCTTTCAGGGTGTGGACATGCAAACAGAGCCCTTGGAAGGGCAGTGTTTCAGAAGAGCAGTAGCTGGTATATTCACATTGCTGTGTGTGAACAGCTGCAAGCAATTCAAATGCAGCAAATCAGTTCCAACTAACATTCCTTCATCCAGGGTTAAAGTTGGACAGGATTGGCTGCAGTTGTTCTTAGCTGGTTCATATATAATAATTAGAAATATCAGTCCACTGCCCTTTTGAAACCCCTTTTAGAAGGGCTCCCTTTTAGAAGTGTTCCTGTGTCCACACACTCAGGCTGCTCTATTACCCTTTCCCCCTTGTTCTTTCTTGTTCCCTTGTCCCTCTCCATTCCATTTCTTTCTGTACTTTTTTTCTTCTCTCCAATTTTTTTCTCTACTGGGGTGTGGACAGGCATAATGAAATATTTCAAACATGTTTGGAATACCTCAAACGCTATCTGGACCCAAATGCAAGTCCTTTCAAGTATTCCATAAATGGCTAAAACAATCCAAAGTCACACCTCTTGAAACAAAATTATTCATTTTTGGAGCTGTTCACTTTTGGTTATGTCTGCACAGGAGAGGAAGGGAAAGAGGGTGAACAACGTGCCGGCTTTCCAAGCACCAGGTCCTATCCCAGATCCCACAGTGCTGCTGGGTCTCCACTGGGATTTCCCCCGCTGGGATTTCCAATGTCATTGAAGCTGGGTTTACCTTCCCACTACCTCCCTTACTGACTCACAGGTCCCCCCCACTGCTGGAAGGAAGCCCTCCAGCCTCAATCCCCTTTACCTCTGCTCCACTAGGAAGCCCCTGCCATTCCTCCTTCCCTGCTTTCTGGGCTTTTTGTTCTGCACTCCCATCTACCTCCCATCCCCATGTGGGAAGAGGGGAATGTAGAGCAGTTGTAAGTCACTGCAGCCTTGTTTAGTGCTCCCTGGCTGGCAGAGGAATCTACAGCATTTTAAAACATTCTGGCTAGGAACAGCAAAGGGGGCATGTGTGTCGCCTGGCTTTCAGTGTTTCACTTATTCAATTACTGCCTTGTGCGTTTCCCTTGGAACTGTTTTCATTGTTTTGCCTGCCTGCACCCTTGTTTCATGTGCCTTCCCCTACCTCCCTGTAGTAAGAAACCATGCCAAAATAATGGAGGTTTGGGGGCTGGTGGAGTGGACTAAAATGAAAAAACATAGTAATCTTTGAGGGGTGTTATTTTCAGTTTGAGTTTTGCACTGAAATTCTGAAATGTTTCTCAGATGATGGTGTAATTGTTGCATTGCCTGGCCACTGAGCTACCACAAAGCTCATCCTGCAGGCATTCATATATATGACTTTAGTTCATGCCATCTAGCAAAACTTCTTAGATTAAGAAAATTAGATGTTCCTCGTGACATTTTTTACACTGTTTTTGTTTCTCTGTTTTCCTCAGGTTTAAGGGCTGGCCTTGCTGCCTCTATTGCAGGAAGTTCTATTATCAGCAAAATGTTACTTGCAAACATTGATCCATTTGGTGCTACTCCATTTATTGACCCTGATCCAGATTCATTGTAAGAAAATCTCTGTTTTATGAATTCACTCCTATTTCACTCTATTCACTTCTATTTTAGTCTATTTGCTTTTATGAAATTGCAATTTATAATTTCTAGAATGAAAAATAAGCCTTAATTCATAGTTTTCAGAGGAAAATACTACTCAAATTCAAAATGGCAGATACTGCCTTTTAGGTACTGATCCTGAGATAAGGGCACTACAGAGTGCAGGACACTGGAAACATTGTGTCCAGCAGAGTTTCCCTAGAACGCACCCAAGGGGTGGGCTATTATTTGGGATGGAGGGCCACTTGGCAAGTTTTGTTGAGCTGTTGTGGGCTGCCTACACATGCAGTGCAGACACTAGAGATGTGGGTTTTCCAGAAAATTTTGAATTGGAAAATTTTCCAATGCCCTAAATAGTGTGATCTGATTTAGCATGTTTATTTGACTTATACTTAGTAAACAAAACTAAAAAAGTACCCCCATGTTAATGTTATGTCCCAACAGCCACAAGTATTTGAACTGAAATATTTGATTAGGAAAAAAATAAAATACAGCACACTTAATGTGGTTTAAATGTTATGTTCAAACAAATTCAAAGCTTTATGCGGAAAGAAATTACTTTTATTGGAATATTTGTAAAAATGTAAAGACAATACACAATACCATGTACTTCCCTGACATTGTTTGTTTAAATTTAAGAAAAAAACCGAAGGCAGTGAAAACTGTTGACACACTAGAACTGTGCATGATATGCTGTGGTTGTCCACTCATCTACTTCAACAGAGTTTAACTCTCTTCCACTGAGGTCATTGCAGCACCTCCAGTTTCACCGTCACTATGTGTAGAATCACTTGCACTACTTCTTAGTTCCGTTTCAGAATCAGTTTGAGGTAAATCTGATTCAGAACTACTTGAACCACATTCTCTTTCGCTAAAGGATGGTTTTACCAATGAGTCTATGGGCTTGGGCAACTTATCATCACACTGCATCTTCTTCAATAATTGTGCTTCTGACTGATTCTCCAGGAGTAAGAGATTTTGAGAAATAGAAGCAAGCTTAGTGGTGCATTCATCTGGTAGTCTATTCCTCTTTTTTGTTTTGATTGTGGTGAAAGCCTTCCAGTTCCATTTACAAGAAGCTGCTGTTGGTGAAATGTTTAGGATCCTTAGAGCAATCCTGGACAACAGTCGGGTGTTACAGTATCCCTTCCACCATGTGAAAGGAGACATATTCTGTGCTGCCCCCCAAATGGTGTCTTTGCTCTAAAGTCTTTCTTTTGCATGGCAGTGTCTGTCATCATGGCTATTGGCATCTATTCATTGTTACTAATGAATTTTATGAAGAAATGAATTTTTAGAAATTGGAAATTTCCCATGGAAAAATAAAGCACTGGAAAATTTTCCACCCCACATCTCTTCCAGGCATGCATGCATGCATGCATTCGCGCGCGCGCACACACATTCCTACAACTCTCTCTGTGCCCCTTCTCCTGTCCTGAGTCCCTGGCATGTGGCCATGTTGGGCAGGAGCTATGCCAGTTGCACCTGTGTGGCCTGAAGCGTTGTGTAGGAACACAGTATGGCACTGGCCTGGCCTAGCCACGCTCTGGAGACTTGGGCCGGGGGAGGGGGCTGTAGGGAGACGGGAGCTGGGAGTTATGGGTTATTTGGGCTCAGCTGGGCCAGTGCTACATTATGTTCACCCCTCTGTGTACCACAGACTTGGGGTTGCTCAGGAGCTGCACCAGCTGCTGCAGCTGCACCCACATGACACAACCTGAAACAATGCATGGGAACACAACATGGCACTGCATTAGTGGTGCCCACACACCTACCAAGTTCTGGCCCAGCTTGGCAGGGCCTAGGTAACTCGCAACCTCTGGCCCTGTTCCCCTTGCACCCCTTCCCCCACAAGTGGGGAGAACTATACCTGAGCTTTGACTCTTGCTGGGGCTGGGCTGTTTTGTTTTTAAATGGCTACAGGATTGGAGCTATGTGCAGACAGCCTCACCAGGCAGAAGCCTGGCCAGGAGCTCAATGCCCCCTGTCTTGGATTGTATACAGGGGGCTGGGGGGCAGGGCAGGGTGGGCCAGGCCAGGCTGGGGCAGGGGGATTGCTGTCTGGCCTCTGGTGCTGCTGCTGCTGCACCCAGCTACAGCATAGGGAAGGGTGAGAGGTGCTGAAAGCCAAGACAGTTGCAGGGGAGAATCAATTTTCCTTCAGAGGAGTAATCACAGGCCAGGTAGAATCATTTGGCAAACCGGATCCAGCCCATGGGTTGTATTTTGCCCACTCCTGGCATACTCTTTCTGCTTTTGAAGAGTGCAGCAAGCAGTCACCTTTACCATTGCCCATCTCTGCTAGGTAGGTGTCTTGATGTAGAGCCCTGTTTTTCTTTTCTGCTCCTTCTGAGGTCATTCACACCACAGGAGGTGCTGGCAGGTAGTCAGCCCTATGATTGCTATTGTCATTATATGGGGCTTCAAGCATATACGGGTGCTAGGACCAGCCACAACCTAGGTCAAAGGTATATGGGAGCTGTTGAGATAACTGTACAATTACAAATTTATCTGTACTCCTCTCATAGGGAAGGATATTCAGAAAAGTGCGTCATGAACAACTACTTTGGAATTGGATTAGATGCAAAAATTTCATTAGAATTTAATAATAAACGAGAAGAACACCCTGAAAAATGCAGGTAATGGAACCATCAGTGGTTTAGCAGAGGCATTTTATTTTTCTTAATGTTGTTGTTCTGCATGCTTCCTTTAATACCCTTTTTGTTTCACTCTTTCCACACAAAACATGCATGTACAACACAAATCACACTTCAGTACGTGAATTTTTATTCCTTATTTCCAGAAGCCGGACAAAGAATATGATGTGGTATGGTGTACTTGGTACAAAAGAATTACTGCAAAGGACCTATAAGAACTTAGAACAAAAAGTTCAACTTGAGGTAAAAATATTTATTTGTTAATTTTTTACAGCTTTGATCCAATTTGGTTATTAAAACACAGTACAGAGCAGTGTGGATCATCTAGAACAGGTCTTTCTAACTTCCAGGTGGTGAGGAACTACTCTGGGCTGCGCACCATTGGGCCAGACACTGTGTGGGCAGCAGTCATGTGGTCCTCCCAGCCATGCAAGCAGCCAGCTGCCCTCTCACTGCATGTAGTTTAGCCCTGCTTCCTGCCATGCATACAGTTCAGTGCTGCTCCCCTGGCTTTGCACAGTGCACAGGTAGCACAGAACCCTTTTGGCTTCCATCCCACTGCACCACCCTGCTCCCAGGAGCAGGAAAGGAAGAAGAAAGCAAATGAGAAAGGAGTCCAAAGCCCCTGAACACTGTAACAGCAGGAGCAATGAAAGGAGAAGTGGCTACGTAGGAGCCCACAGGCTACATGTTAACTCCTTGCAGGCTGCGTATAGCTCTCAGGTTACCCACTGAACAGCTCTGACCTAGAACTATGTAACTTTCTTCATACCAAGTTCATGTAACTGTTAACGTCTACTTCTCATAAATAAATTGTGTGAAACATGGTAGAAGCTAAGTTAATCCAAGCTGAATCTGTGGGTGTGAACACAGGTAACACTTAGACATTTTAAAATATGGTCTAGACTGTAAATGCCCAGATGTACAAGTCAGTTTAGAACAGTATAGATCTGCTGGAACACTTCAAAAATATACCTGGGTAATTACCGCGTTTACTCAAATGTAAGACAATGCTAAGTATAAGACTACCACCCCAATACTTAGATTCTATATATGGAAAATTAATACATTTATGATTTTCCAAGCATAGAATCTAATTATTGGAGGGTTGCCTTGGATTTGTTTCCCTCTCTCTACTACACCAGGGAAAATAAATAGAGGAGAGGCAAGTGACTCCCTTGCCCTCTTTCCACCCCCCAATTTCTTCCCCCCGCAGCCCTTTCCCCCTTCTCCTCCTGTCAAACCCTGCTGTCTCTGAGCACTTGGAAAAATAAGGAGCAAATCTGAAAACACTGAAGGATGAATTGATGCATTTTCTTTCTTTCTTTCTTTTTTTTTTTTTTTAAGACTGATGCAAGTTTAGTATAGGTATTCCACAAACATACTTTTAAGCAGCATTTTGTACCTCCTCAGATAAAGTAAAAACTATATATGATACTAGTCCAAAGCCAAAAGGCTCATGATTTTACCATATAGTTCACTGGGATGGGCTCAGCAGAGTCAACAGCGTTTCAAGCCATGTTGATCCCATAGCTTAGCACTGCTCAGGATGTGTGTGTACTCCAGATATACCATCCACAAAGTATTCATGTGCTAATTAGCCACCTATTCATGACTGGAACTGGATGTTCTTATCATTAGTCCTGGGATGCCCCAAAACTTTATATGTAGATGAAGTGTAGGGCAACCTGGTCCAGCTTCACTTCATGGAGGCCAGGGCTACGCTAATCATATACTCCAGGCTGAGAGAGGGGCCAGCAGAGTTTGGTGATGTTTGCCAGACATTTAAGGCTGGTAAAGAGAAAGGAATAATTGAAAATGGGACAGAAAATCACAGCTCAGCTGTGGGAGTGAAAGGGAGTAAAAATGTATTCAACATAGTGGCTCACCATGACTTGAAAAAGAGTTGGCACTGAGGGGGCTGAGCACAGTGAGCAATGCCATATATCTTATTTGGATGGGCTTCATTAACTGAGGCTTGTGGTAGCTTCCCATCAGTATGCTTGTCCAACGTGGGTCTTGTGTTTTATAGTCATGCTCAGTGTTGGCTGTATTTTAATCAGTTTCATAGTTGATTTCCATTACTGAGCACATGCTGCTTTTGGCAGCAATTTAAGGCTATACAGTGCATTTAATGAGGTTTTCTTGTATGTGATTGTAAGACGAGGAGCTTTCCCCCCCATGCTCATTTGGGTGGAGAATGGGAGGGGCTTCTTTTATATTTGAGTAAATATGGTAGGTACTGTTTTGAAACATTTCTCTCTATCTGGTTTGGTGTTGTATGTGGACAACAAGCTTTCTGTGAGTAGTGTCTAGTCAGTCCTCCATGATTTCCTCACTGCACCATTCTTTGGCTGCCCCCCACCCCAACCTCTGTATGGTAACTGGCTGCTCTAGTACTGCTCAGGTGGGTGGGGAGGGTGCCTCTGCCCCCATCTAAGTGTTATGTGTGTTCACACCTACAATTAACAATGGACCAAGCCCATCTGTGGTAATAAGCTTCTGTTGCACATTAGTTCAGTTTTCCCACAGCCAGCAATTGGTACGTGTTTGTCATTAAAAGTGCACCCACCACCCAACAACCTCACAGTTGGAGGGAGTAGGTGAATTGAAATTATCTAAGTGACTTTCTAGGGAAAGCCATTTTTTTAAAGCTGCAGCCTGATGCAGAGACCTAGGGCAGGCCCCAGAATACCTAGCTCCTTGTTAAGGGAGGCCTGGAAGGGGTCCAGGCAACCTCACACTAGCCAATTGGGGCCTTCCTTCTCCACTAGGGAGATACTGGGGAAACTCCTGGCCATTTGCCACTACCACATATGCTAGGTTAATGACTCATTCCCATCTCCTGCTGGACATTTGATAGCACTGCAGTATCTGAAAAGTGACATTTCTACTTCAAACACTTGGCAGTGTACAAATGGGCACCTCTGAACCATGGCGTTCGTGAACCAGTTCCCAAATGGTGATGTTCTGGGAACAGTTAAGTTGTGTGTGTCCTTACCCTGTGACAGTTCTGAGATTTTCCAAACCATAGATGCTTAAAGTTTCAGCAATCAAGAATTTTGATTATTTTATCTAGCTTTTTTTATAGCTAAACAATATCAGCTAAGGGCCCCTACACTGCCCAGCCCCCCAGGGAGCCACGCAACCAAAGCTGCGCGAACAGGCTGCGCAAACAGGCGTGCTTGTCTGCTGGCACGTGAGTTACCGCAGAGTTCGCACAGGAGGGTGCGCGGGAAGACCCAAGACCCTGCCTGCGAACCCCCCAGGGTAGATAGTCCCAGCCATAGCCAGCCTACCAGAGGTATGACACAGATGGGCATGCGCCGCACCCCGAGGGTCCCCTTGGGCTCTGCGGCCCTCCCCCGGCACCTCAGAGACGGCCACCCAGACGGAGCCATTGGCTCTCAGCTGCAGGGGCTGCCTGTCGCTTTTTCAGGCTCTGGGGCCCGGGAGCATGGCCACCTCCCCTTGTGGGGTCTGCTCCCTTTTGGGGTCTCTGGCACGCCAGCTGGAGGAGCTCCAGGCCACAGTCCAGAGACTGCGAGTCATCAGGGACTGTGAGCAGGAGATCGACTCCTACTGCCAGGCCCTTCTCCCCTGGAAGCCAGAGGGTAGACCACAGTCTTCCTCCAGGACAAAGGAGGACTCCAGGACCTCCCGCTCTGTCCGGTCAGGGGCATGGACCAAGGTGGTCAAGGGCCCTAAGGCCCGCCGCACCAAGGCCCCTGCCCAGCCGGAGCTTAGCAACAGATACGCACCTCTTGCTGCTTCAGCAGAGCCTGCTGAGTTGCCAGCTTCTGCAGGCAGCACAGCCTCAACTGCAGCTACCGCCCCCGCTCTCCCCAAGACAAAAGGAGGATTATTCTGCTCAATGCAAATGAGGATTATTCTGCACTGGTCTGGTCCTGCAGGGAGCAA